TCATAGGGGTACCTTTTAGGGGTAACTTTTGGGATTGACTGTATAGCCAATACATCCTTAACAAGAATCTAATCTGAAATTTCTCAGACAGTTTCCTTTCGCGTTCGTCATCATCTATAATTCAAACGTCATCACCGAGAACCGATTAAAGGTGCATTCAGAGGCGAACCTTTCACTAAAGTTTCACGTGTCCCATTATACCTGAACTTTTCCTCGACCACAAAAAGGATCAATCAAAACCATTCGCTAATTTATGAGTCATTACGTTTTCCACGATTCGATTATTATTTCAGGCCGTCAATTCGAAGAAAAAGTTGGAAATGCTTGTATGCTAATTCAACAGTGAAAGCCGTGCATTAGAATATTCCTTCATAGTCAGGTTCCACTTTGTTGAAGATAAAATGATTTCTTTAAGAATATTGAGTCTCTTGTTAAACATTTTTAATTTATAATGTGAAAGTTTCCTGGAAGCATCCCTTGTCTCGCCGGAAGGAATTAACAACAAGAAGTTATCTTGAAAATTGATACTCTGATACTTTGTACTTCCAAGTTCTACGGTCTCTATAATACAGCAACTGTAACTATTGGAAATGTGTCGAGGAACCATTTTCTTATAATACAATATATACAGGGTTTATCATAAATTCATGTCAATACCTCAGATGGTATATCTACTAAAACAAGAGAAATTGATACGAACTACTTCGACATATTTTGATTACATTAAAGAAAATATTCGAAATCCCTGAACATAATCCTGTCTATCCTAAAGTTGTACGAAACGATGTTGTATTGCAATGCACGCTCTTGAATATCAAGAATAAAAATTCTAATTTACATATTTGCCCCCCGAATTAATTCATTTAACAACGATTGTACTGCAAGTACATTTCGAAAGCTTCCAAAGGAAAACGTTGTTTTCGGAAAACGATAGGAAACGGAAACGCGGGTAATTAGAGGCGTTTCACTGAGAGCCGGGCCGCATCATCGAGGCGATAGCGTGAATACGAACGAGCGGCTCGTTCTAATAACCTACTCCCACATGGTGGAAGGCCCGCGAGTCCACGGCTGGTGATTCTCGAGCTCGAGTCGAGTTCAGTTTAGTCTTCGCCTGACCGGGGTACGGGCCTTTCTACCGGGCCTGATTCACCGATGCCCAGAGCCCGCGTACCGTCCCAGCAAACAGGCCTCCGTTCCTTTCGCGCCCGGTACGCCTCCAGTCCCGGGAGACTTTTGACCCTGAATACTGGTTCGGTGTCCAGTTCCGGTTACTTCTGAGCTCTGCTGGCACGAGGGAGAAAGGATCCAACGGAATTGTGTATAAACCAGTGTACAGAGTCGGTTCGTGGATTTCATCCTTGCTGTTTTAATATCTTGTGTGCAGACGAAACGTTTTACTATTATCCACTTCACATTCATTGTTCTCAGTGATTGTATCTAGAATTAAAAGCTGATCAGTCGAGCAGTGTGCCATGTAGTTTTAGTGTCGAGTAGTATTAATACTGCATAAGTGGTTAAAAAAATTCGAAGCCTGTTCTCGTGGCCTTTGTCATTTGAAGAGTTGGCGGACTTTCTAAGTTACAACGCCGTTAGAAAACAGAATCATTTTATATTATATTCTCCTCGAGTTATATTTTCCCCTACGGTTCTCGATAACTTTTACCGTAGAATAAATCACACGCGCATTTATCATAAATAATGCAACGTAAAACTGGGTAAACATCTTGCGAGGCATCAATTTTATTTACATATGATAACTAGGCTGACGTGCACTTGTGGATTTCTGATGTTCGTGCAAACTGTAAAAAACGAGGTCGTAAAATATATAAAATATCTGAAGTACGCGTCATATTTAAAGGGGTCCTTCCACTTTCAGGCTGTCCCGGCTTATCAAAGTTAAATATTGATCATGTGATACATATCCTATTTTTCGGTGTCGAACGAGATTATAGTCGAACGATAATCTCATGCACTTTGCCGGCATTTAGAGACAATTGGAATTCTTTTAGAAATAGTTTTATAGTAACGTCTTCCAGGTTTTTCATATTCATCCTGTTGCCTCGAATGATTCCATAATTATATACGTCAAACAATAAAACGATGACGATTGTACATTCGTATGAATCTTCTATGTTTTCGTTCTCGTTCTCGCGTGCGGTCGTACGGAGCGGAAAAAAAAACGGAACAATTTGAACTCCCATTGTGTCTCGCCGTTGACCCAGATATACTAATGTGTAACCAGAATCTCGCGATTAAATATTACGTTTTGTTAATCGGGTGGCACCGAGATCGATCGGTAGTCAACGTTCGTTCCCAGTAGCTTATAAAAACAACGTCCTTGTTTATGGAAAGCAACATTTTCTACCTGACCACGAAGGTTTTTTCACAGCCTCCTGCGGAGGAGTGATTATAATTTCTGGTTTCGCTATGACGAATTTATCTTCGTGTCTTTACTTTTAATATTCATTCGGTTCATTATTTTCTGATCAGAGTTCGTAAAAAATGATTTTCTCCCGAAGACGGTGTTAGTATTTAGTTCGAAACGAATCCGGGCTCGCTCGGAGTTTTTTAATCGGTCCTTTAAAGTAGCAGCGCGATCAATCATCATCCTTTCTGATCACAAGCCTCGGCCAGCGGTTGGCGAAATCCCGTTTGGCCGGCAACAGATACGCGAGACTTTTTAATTAATCTTCAACAGGGGATTACAAATTTCGCCGGTGGCTCGGCGAGCTCCAGTCGTTTTACATTATCGATCCCCTCATTCCCCGCGACTCTCTTTCTCACCGCGTCCGCTCGCCAGGTGGAGAACTTCGGCTCGCTTGTTTTCCATGGGACCTAGTTTGCGTTACTAAATCTCCATTTTAGCATCGCTAACGCGGCGAGCTAACAATTCGGCCACGTCCGCCGAGCCTCCGCAGGCTATTCGTCACGATTTCGAGTTTCAGTGTTTTCGGAAGAAAGATATCCTGCTTGTTCGCGATTTTCGTTCGTATTCAAACGCGTCCCGACTTTTTCTCACGTCTAGAGCACGCGACTCTCGTCGTTCGTTGAACCCAAAGAAGACCGCACGAAACTTTCGCGAGGAAGTCACCTACTTTCGGAATCCGATTCGTCTCGATTGACCCCTTCAAGGCCAGGCGCTACTCCTCGACGATTCCTCGCACCGTTCACCGGAATCCTCGTTATTCACGTGCCCTATCTACATATTTCGTATATCAATTTTCTACATAAATTTTCTACGAGCTGCATTTATTTGCATTTAAAAACACTCCTAAACGCGCGCAGTGTTTGATAACAATAATAACAATTAGCAATTCTCTATTGTTTAATTTATGGCAAGTCGAAGTACACCTACACATCATATTTAAGTTGACTAATTGTACAAACTCTTTTTCGTGAAAATCGAATCAATCTTTTATTATCACGCAACCGTTCGCGGTATCTGTCCTTTCAGTTACGAATTCTGTGCGAGCTGGTTTTGTCCTCTGATAACGCGTTCTGTAACAATGGCCAGTCGTGGCAACCGGTTTGCCAGTTTCTCCTTTACGCTCGATGCACTCCCAGTGCTCTTCTGCTCTGTACTTGCAATTAGCCAATTCGTACTCGACGTTAACGCGAATGATTTAACAGTGAAAGATGTAAAAAACGTTTTCATCTGCGTTTATAAATAAAACGAGTATAAAGTAGAGTAGAAAATACTTGAGGCAAATACTTGGGAGACGGATGATTCATCCAGTTTAGTAATCAAAAGCAAAACCCAGTCCTGCTGAATAAACACTCGTCGCATTGCTCACTCTAAATTAATTGGCTCGTCGTAAAATTGCATTCTTCGCTCCCATTACGATTGAACTCTAATCGAATCCAGTGACGAATTACTATTAGATTAAAGCGAACGACCGATTGTTCGAATTCCGGTTAATCACACAGTAAAATCGTTTATTGCTTGTTATTGCGATCTGGTTAATTTTTGCAATAACCGGAATTTCAATCGGTTTTCTTTAGTTTTTGTAAAAATAAAATTCTCTCTCGTGGGCTCAGGTTTCTCATCGGAATTCGACGTAAACGAGTTGTAACCAATTTTCTTCTAGTTCTATGGGTACCAGGTAGGTAAACGTAGATTTGGTAGGAGCCGAATCATTCGTTTACCTAGCTGCCTGTTTAACATGCATCGTCGTACGCGATTTTCACCTTTAACCAGTTCAAACTTTGTCACGTTCCCATTGTAAATGTAAATCATCTGCCTCTCCGTTTGTTTCGCGCGTTCCTGTTTGGTTCATTAATTTCCGGAAATCGGGAAGCTTTTGTTGAATTTTAATCAAAACTCGTGAAACGCTGTTGAATGAAACGAACCGATTAGAAGACTCTTAAACGTTTTGCAGTCGACAGAGAGTCGAAAGCGTGACTCTTAATCAAAAGTGAAGCAGCCTTAAGAAGACTAAGAATTGAATTCGCGTTTGGTTTCAGTAATTACGTCCTTTGCAAATTTTCCGAGTGTCAGTATTGAACGTCGTTCAGTTTTCTGGCATTGCTTCTTCAAAGACTCCACTCGTTTGAAACAGCCATTCGTAAATACTAATTGCGAACACTCTAAATTACCCGAGACCTATTTTCCCTTTTGCACGAAATAAATGTTTAATTAATTGGAAGGGGAATAAGTTTTTAAGCACTCGGTCGAGGCACGTGATAGCTACTTCATTTATCATTCATTTCGAGAAACGTTTTTTCTTTTTTCTCAACTCGTTACACGCCTCGGTGGCCGAATTTCGCAGTAATGAAAATCAAACATGCTTTCCGCCTCGCGTTCCTCCAACGCGACGAGTATGACAAAAACGTCCAGTTTTACGAATATCGCAAACATTAAATATTTAATAAATAAAAAAACAAACAGAAACGAGAATTCTGTTATTTATAAGAGCAGAAAATTTCGTTCTAGCTTGAAATAAATTTATTTTCCACTATTTTCTATTTTCAGGGTGCGAGTTTAGCAATAACGATGCGACTCCAACTATTTTGCCTGATAATTTTCGCGAGCGTGCTGGTCGTTAGGCAAGCCTCGGCCCACGGAAGACTGATAGAACCACCGTCGAGGGCCTCGATGTGGAGGTACGGTTTCGATACACCGCATGATTATAACGATCACGAGTGCTATTGCGGTGGATTCACCAGGCAATGGCAACGGAACAAGGGAAAGTGCGGCATATGCGGCGACGCTTGGGACGCGCCAGAGGTAAGACGAGAATATTTTTATGCAATTCTTTATCACTCCCTTCGGAGCGAGGATACGATCCTCAGGAGTGAATAAAAAAAAAAAAAAATATAGCAACGCTGTCTCAGTTAGATCATTTAATTAAATTCAATTTTATTTATGAATTTTATTTATGAATGAATTTTCCAATAATTTCTGTATTTCTATTGATTGATGAAATATAATTCTAACTCCTATTCTATTAAAGATGAGGAATCTGCATGGAACATTCATCTATTTGTTATTTCACATTTGAATTATATTTATATTGCAAAAGTGTTCCAGTTCCATGCAGAATGGAACGATCAAATATTCTGTACCTCAGAACGGGGCAGATCTCTCGACATTTGAATTGCGCGATTGAAATTCCCGAAATGGAAATTAGGTAACGGTACACTCCTCGGGCGACCTGCACTCCTACGGAGATCAAGATCTCCCGACTAAATCAGATACGAGAACCTTATAAGGAATCCTACGACGGAGTCAATAATAAAAAAAAATATATTACGTATTAAAATCGAATACGATTTTGTTCCAGCCTCGCCTGCACGAGACCGGCGGTAAATACGGGAACGGTGTGATAGTCAGGAAGTACAAAACGGGCTCGGTGATACCTGTACGCGTCGAACTGACGGCGAACCATCACGGGTACTTCGAGTTCCGTACGTGCGCGATGACTTACAGAAATAAAGAAGTCGATCAGGATTGCCTGGACCAACACTTGCTACCGTTGAGGAACGGATCGACGAGGTATTACCCCGGGCCGGGGAACAAGATTTTCGAGGCTTTCTACAAATTGCCGGATGGGCTGACTTGCGCTCAATGCGTCTTTCAATGGAGATACGTGGCTGGAAATAATTGGGGCGACTGTGGAAACGGGACAGGTATTGTGCAACGCGTTTTTCTTTTTTTCTTTCGTCGCGAACACTGAGCGAGCCGCTCTTCCCTCTCGGAATTCGAACGCGACTCGCTTCTCACAATAGAGGGACGTACAGAGTGTTGGAAGCAAAGGTTGTTCAGCGTTGCTTTTGGGTCTACAGAATCTCTCTGAATCTATCATGACTCGAGAGCTTAAGTACACTATCAGCAGAAAATAAAATAAATAAAAATTCGAAGAGGTCCTACTTAAACGTTTCCAATACAAAACTGTTTTTTTTTTCTTTCGTCGCGAACACTGAGCGAGCCGCTCTTCCCTCTCGGAATTCGAACGCGACTCGCTTCTCACAATAGAGGGACGTACAGAGTGTTGGAAGCAAAGGTTGTTCAGCGTTGCTTTTGGGTCTACAGAATCTCTCTGAATCTATCATGACTCGAGAGCTTAAGTACACTTTCAATAGAAAATAGAATAAATAAAAATTCGAAGAGGTCCTACTTAAACGTTTCCAATACAAAACTGTTCTAATGGATAAAGTTTGAGAAATCGTAATTAAAAGATACAATTCTGGCTGGCAGAGACTTTTGAATACCGACGTAGCCTCTGGATAATAAACGAACCTGGGGGGCGAGTTTTTTCAATGACACGAATTTCTGTTCCACTTAGCACCGGGACGAGCGTAGCTCGGTGTTTTGTTCTAAAGCCGGATGCACGTTCGAGAGACACCGCGTTCGCGACAAAAGCTCCGAGCTTTACGTAGGCACGAAGGAGAGACGTTGCCCGAAATGGCTCGGTACGATTGAATTGTAAAGGACATTGGGAGATGTTTGCTGAACGAAGTGCTTGCGCCGGAAACGATTGAATCGTTGATTGCACGCGGATTGCTTATGTATAGAAACCACGTTATTTCGTTGGCAATCAGGTCGAATGCAATTCTGATTAAATTATCAATAGGGCTAATAGAGAAATGAATAAAACGTCAAGACTAAACTATTAATACTGTGAATAATCGAGTCATGCATCGTGTCGACATTTTTAATGTCGATAATTAAAATATACGTATTCCATCGACGCACGGGTAGAAAGTTTTAAATTGTACTGTAAGTGTTACGTACTCAGCTCAAATATTGCACAATATGCATTATCGCAATCATTGTTATTCGATCGACCTTCAGTTATTACAAAATTATCTATATATAATAATATTTAAACCTAACCACGTTATTTCGTTGGCAATCAGGTCGAATGCAATTCTGATTAAATTATCAATAGGGCTAATAGAGAAATGAATAAAACGTCAAGACTAAACTATTAATACTGTGAATAATCGAGTCATGCATCGTGTCGACATTTTTAATGTCGATAATTAAAATATACGTATTCCATCGACGCACGGGTAGAAAGTTTTAAATTGTACTGTAAGTGTTACGTACTCAGCTCAAATATTGCACAATATGCATTATCGCAATCATTGTTATTCGATCGACCTTCAGTTATTACAAAATTATCTATATATAATAATATTTAAACCCCCTTGCAAATATCTAAACCATTAATCATATCTCTAGGTAGATCGCAGGTAGATCAAGAATATTTATTAATATTTACTTTGCATGAATGATTAATTAATGAATGGAGGAGTGTTAGTGAATGTTACTCACATTTGTTGCATTCGACAGGAGCCGTGGGCTGCGGCCCTCAGGAGGAGTTCCGTGGCTGCGCGGACATCACCATCGGGGACGACGTGGAACCGCTTCCGACCGTGGAGACGCCGACGACGTCGGTTCCAAAGTCGCCGACGGAACCGGCATCGGTGCCGAGCGGACCGTATTGGTTGCTCAGTATAATCATCGCTGGTACGTGCCTTCTGGTCGCATTGGCGGCTATGGCGTTGCTTTATTCGTATTATTATCACTCCGGCCGAGCCAAAAAGTGGCTTATGGCAAGGCGGTTGCTGACGCCGGATAGTCCACCTGTCGCTCCACCGAGGCATAAAAAACACCACGCGTCCAATGCACCAATGCAGTTGTAGAGGGACCGTTTTTTTTTACTTGAACGTAGGGTGACCAAATTGTTCTGCCAATTATGACTGTACTTTTTCGAATACTACTTCTTGGACTTCTATATAACTTGAGAGGCTACGCGATCTATTAATGGGAATCCTGTGAGCGTACTTTCGTCGTTCTTTTTTATATACTTTTTATACAGCTTGAAGAGACACGAGGATTCCTTTTGAAAACTAAAGAGGAACGGTCACCCTGATTTCTATTATTAAAATGTGCTTCGTGATACAACTTCTCTTACTCGTTTCTTCACTCGAAGGTCTTGAAATATGACTTTTCTTTAAATAGTGACGATAACGCTATGATGTATGTACGACGGGGAAGTTGTTCTTGTTCTGCGTTTAGAATAATCCATACTTTGCACATGCATTCTCATCTTGTATATATAAACTGTCTTACATTAAACGTATTTATTTTCTAAGAATTTCTAGTTCTTAGTCTTCCTTTCCCTTTTCTTTATCTTGCTCTCTCTCTCTCACTCTCTCTCTTTCACAAACATTTCTATTTTTCTTTTTTTTTTTTAAATAAAAATAGGAATGAGATGAGATTTAGCTATTCGGCATGCACACATCTTGATATCATCCATACCATGCGGAGGAGTGAGGAGTCACAGTTTCGATGGGGATTATTTTTTATTGAGCAACATATTTCGAAAATCTTGATTACTCAATTTTTGGGTAACGCCGTTCCCGGTTGCACTTGCACTCCCGTTACTAGCAGCGACTTTGACGGTACGAGGTACCATAGATAATAACGTTCTGGGCACACCGAACGTAGTTCTGCTTACGTTAGTACCTCCTAGAGACCTCACCGGTTCCTCGATCGCCGGGACCTTTTTCCTTTCCGGCGGCTGGCTTATAGCTACACTAATTACTTTATCATCGATCTTCATACCATCAGCGGCGAGCAATGCCTTCGCGGCACTGTTCTCATCTTCGAAGTCGACGTAAGCCAATCCTTTAGAGTGTCCATTACGGTAAGTAACTATCCGCACTTCTTTTAACGCTCCGTGAACTTTGAAGATTTCTTCAAGGTCCTCTTTAGTCGTCGTCACCGGCAATCCTAATTATTTCACAACGATAAGTACACATCTCTTAAACGAATTAGTTCGAACTTTTAATTTCAACTCACCTTTAACAAACAGCTTATTCTTCTCTAGGGTGGAACTATATTTGAATCCAGTTCCTCGCGTTGTTTTGTCAGGATCGCATCTCGAGACGAACATCGGTCGTCCTCTTATAGGAGTTCGATCCAGTTTCAACGCTTCTTCGACGGCTTCCTATAAAAAAGCACATTCACAACGTTGTTAAGAAAGTTTAGTGTAAATTTTAGTTCGAAGTCGAAGGACTCTTAATACGTACCGGACTACTGAGCTGAACATAACAATATCCTTTGCTACGCCCTTTGTAATCTCGTATCATCTTAAACATCGTGATCGATCCAGCCGGTTCTAACGCATTCCTAACTTCTTCTTCGGTGGCCGTGTAGTCTAAATTACTAACGAACACCGTGATCTTGTCGTCGACTTCCTGCGTATGATCTACTTCCATCTTCTCAGGCTCCGGTGCCTTGAAACCAGGCGGCGGAGTGATCTTCGGTTTTTGATCGGGATCAACTTTCTTCTCAAGATTCAACCGACTCTCTCTTACTTTTGGCTTTACTTGTGTCTCGACTTTGGTAATCTTCGTCGGTGAACTCCCTAAGTTCTTCCACTTGCCCGCGTCATCTTGTTTCCTCTTGTAAGCCTTTTTACTCTGTGATGGTGACAGTTCGCGGTTAGCTTGCTGAGCTTGCTGAGCTTTCAGCCTCTCCTCGGTGACCTTCTCCAATTTCTCCTTGGTCCGCGTTTCACAGAATTCCATCTGCTCCAATGTCCCTTCGTCCCTTTCGAAGTCTATCCACGAATTAGCTATGGTCTCCGGCCAGTCTTTTACCGAGTTCATAGCTTTTTGATACAATTTTCTTAAGTGCTTCGTATCCCCGTAACATTTTTCTAACGAGATGTATTCCAGCCAGTAGGAAGCTATTCCGGAATGCCCTTGCGATAGAATGTCTGCCCATAGTGTCCTAGCTTTCTCCATGTCGTTGGCATGTATAGCTTCGGTTCTCGCCCAATATTGCAATATAACGCAATTCGGATCTCCTTCTAAGCCGAACGATTTCGCCAAATATTCGCAGGCTCTGTTGAAAGTATTACGCAATACCTCTACCTGTTTCTCTTCCTCCTTCGAAGACGACCGATCGATTCTTCGTCGTAGATATTCCAGATACGTCACCCATAAATCTCTGTAATCACCCGCGGTTTCGAATCCGGCTGTTAAAGCGTTTTCTAATATCGATTGAATCTCCAATACTGGCTTGCCCCATTTCTCGTACGATCTCATCCACTTCTGCCAAACCTTCGGACACCACGAGACGTTCCTCGATGCTCTTTGGTAGACTTGATCCAAGATAGATTCTATCTTGATGTTTTCTTCTAAGTATGTGAGGTAATCCAGCCAGATCCACGTTTCTAAGGTAATATCGGCGACCGCTCTTTCGTATAAAACTGTTACTCGTCCTGGATCTCCGTGCTGCTTTTCATATGCTAAATATACCTTGTATGCGTCCAGACTCTCGAAGTCGGAATGGGAGGTGACGATCTTCTCTTCGAAAGGCAAGCGGGCATTAAAATTCGCGAATGCCCGCTCGTAATTACTGGCGACGATCTTGTCATCCATAGCAGCTTCTTTACCGTCTCCCCTGCGCCATGCTTCATATTCTTCGTATGTTTTATCCATATCCAACAGAGGACAAGCCAGCTGCCTCTTAAACAAATTTCCTATGCGTTCCAATTGTTCCTTCCTCTCAGCTTGATTCGCACGATCGATCTGAATAATTCGAGAATTAAATAAAATAGAACGGAGAATGTATATTATAGATGATTGGAGATACTTACTAGTGCATATAAGACGGCTTCGAATTCTCTAAACGCCTCCCATATTATAGCACCTTTGGTGACATGCAGTCCGACCGATGTTAAAGCTCGTTCGAATAACTGCCTGACATTCTTTGCCGCATCTTTCTCCACGCCCATATTACCAATGCTAAACTGCAGGTATTCCAGCCACACTTCGACGGCTGTAACAAATTACAAAATATATTAATAGACAAGCCTGTTTGTGAAGAACAGAGACATGTTTCTTAGTTCAGGAATGGAACTTACAAAGGTAATCCTTGACTGCTCGTTCACATAGTTTCACTACTTCTTCCTTCTGCTCTGGCGTAGTGGCTAACTTAATTTCATCGTGCATCCAGGATAACCAGAGACTGGAATCCAAAGGGTAACGAGAGCTCATATTCTCTCTGGCAGCTCGTAGTCGTTCCAATTCGCCCATCTTTTCGAGTTTCGAGATAAGCAGTCTGTGAGTTTGGTAATCGTAGGGATTCTGTGCAAGAGTGGCTTCGAGGATCTTGACTTCCGCTTCGTCGGCGTCTTCCTCGTCGTCCTCGTCGTCCTGATCGTCATCGAGATCGTCCTCCATTTGCTCATCCCGTTCGTTCTCGACCTCATCCTCAGATTCATCCTTATTACCTACCAAATTGTCGAATGTGTCCTTTTCGTTGCCTTCCTCGCTTCCCACTTCCATCGCCTCCATCTTTTACTCCGGGCTGCGTGAACGAGCAATTTTTACTTACCGTGCACTAATAAACTATTAACAACACTGCGTATTTTACGATTCCACGCTTCGCAAACTTGGGAAATGACACGGAACGTCAACAACTTTTAAACCATCAAAAACGGTTATAAACGTTCCAAACGCGTTCGATGCATATGGCGCCCACGCATGCGCGTTGCTGCCGATTTCAAATATGAAATATACGATGTACAAAAAGAATTAAAATTAAAATATATTCAAATGAATGCCGAAAGAGAACAGTAGGAAATATTACTTTAATATGATGCATTTTCATCATTCTTTCATAGGCTTAAAAATATATAATCGTATTGATTCACGCGGGACGTTTCTGCTTGTCTATCAATACACGAACGCAAATGATCTGCTTACAATTAGAAAGCTAAATAGCAATTTGTCATTGAAACGTTTCGATCATTGTAAATGTTATTACCCCTCCTGCGATAGTTTCGTCTTTATGCCTTTACGTACCTGTATCACGGCTTCGCATTTAATGAGCAATATGTGAAAGAGCATGTGGATTGAAGCGTTTGACGATGTCATTCCCAGAAGCCGGTGAAAAGGGTCGCAAAAAAGGAAAACGGAAATTCGTGAAGTGTTCCAGGAATCGGTTGAATCGCTGCAAGCAAACACCTTTAAAATATGTACACAGATATTGTGCGAGTTCACGGGTAAGTCCCCGGGTGCTTATACGGTGACTACACAAAGTGTATTTGCGCGAAACTTGTTAACGAAACAATTCTCGATTTCTCCGTCAAAGTTTCGTGCCTCTGTAGAAACGACGCGCAAATACCTTTTCTGGTCACTGTACAGTACAGTTTGGAACAATGCTTCTCGATAACAACGACGAGATTTACCGATGTTAACCTCACAGATTTCGCGCAAGAGTCGTCCATTTCGCATAAAATAATGTGTTTCGATTGGTGCGAATGTTACTTAGATCTGCGTAGGAGAATCAGTGAATATGGCGAGGTACGTATATCGATTTAATTTAAAAAGTGAGGTTTCGGTAAGAAGAAATTAAGGAACGTCTATCTAACTAATGTCTGCTAGTTAAACTGTCTTCATGTCTTTTAGATCACTGCAACGTTATTATTGATCAGTAATGAAGCAGTGCATTTTTTTTCAGACAACGTACGCGCTTACCGCAATAATTGTTATTTTACTGAGATCGATGAACAGTAAGAGTTGCACGGAAAGAATTACAAAAGAGGCCAATTTAAATGCTGAAAACGTATATGCTAGAAGGAAATCTTGTTCCATACTAATAATAGACGTTTTCGCGTAGAGAAAAGAAATAGCTAAGGAATCCTTAATTTAAAATATATGTATTTTGTATATATCGAAAATTATATAGAAATAAAACGAACCTTCCATTTATTCTCTGCAGTAATTAATTAGCTGATCTAGTCGAGATATATAGATAGATTATAGTTAAAAAAAATCATTTCAATCGACTATCAATAATTTTACACGATAATAACGCCGCGTGTAAAAGGAATAAGCAGGGAATAACTACAATTAGCGGTGTGTCTGTTATGTTTGTTTTTCCGCACGTGATTAAGCGCTGACACACTACTTCATGTACTTACGTATAATCGTTCGCAATGCTGTAATAACGTTCATTAATGGGAATTGTGGTCGCTGTCGTTGAAGTACGAACAGGTTTTTATGCAATCGTTGATTGTATGTACGTACGCGCTCAGTTATTGTTCTCCCGACGTTCCTTCGAATACTACATTCCAATTTCACACCGTTCGATTCGATTAACATCAAATTTAAACTGGCTTATCGATTGCATTTTGTTCGTAAAAGATTTATATGGAGGAGATATCGATGGATGCTTTCTGAATTCTACGTTTGTTTCATTTTTGTACGAAAACTTTTCTCACAGGAAGATTCGTTTTCGAATAAAATTGAATTTTAGTCAACTTTTTTTTCCTCAGAGAAAGAATCTTTTTGCGGGAGGATACAGGAAACAGCGGCTGACAGCGTGTGGGCACGATCTTAAAAATCGATGAGCGTGGGTTTGAAGAGCAAAGTAAATTGAAAACGAGTCGATTTTCGAATGCAAATACGACATTGCAAGCAACGCGCGTACCTCCTCATGAATAGATTCATGATTGTAAAAAGGCAATAAAACTAAGGCTCAAGGAAAGAAGGTACCGATCCCAAGGGACGAAGTTTTTAGTTAATCTCTTAAAGTATACTACTGTAAAGTACTACTTAACGATGGGACCGTATTCGCAGGTATACGTCTTTTTCGATGCTCACCGAGTGTTTTCTACGAAATGCATTTCGAACGACCAATTGTTCGTCCATTCAATCTTCTTCTATCAAAATTTTTAATGGATTGTTCGAATTCTGGCTGGATTAGAAGTGTTGCAATTGTATTTGATTACGACTCATGCATCTTGCGATGTTCACGTGAGTCACTGTAATCCAGTGAGCTTGCCAGAGAGCGTGAAATCGTTTTTCTTTTATTCCTTCAATCTGTTAATCCATGCGGAGAATAGCGGTCTTTCCACGCGAATGATGCGGTCGAGTGGTGGTATTATCGGGGATGCCCCACTACCGCAACTATGAAAGCATTCGGAGGCGATCCCCGCGAGTTTCCGGTAACGTTGCTTGCGGACCTGGTCAGTCAGGGCCGCATTTAAAAAGGTGGTTGCAAGCTACCTTGAACTGACCGTCACTGGTACCACCGAGCCGAGGCTGTATACCTGCGCGAAATAATTCAGTTCCTTCAACGACGGCTTCCCGACCGCATCGGAGACTGTCATGAAGACGAGTGACGAAGCGTGCGATTAAACGTCAGTGAATCACGTTGCTTAATTATAATACGTCTCCCTGATTCGGGAATTTTGTCGATTCATGCGGTGCTTAGAGTCACATGGGTATCGAACGGGACCGTCGTAGTGGAAAACTTGAATTTGTGACTGTGACCTTGTCTCAAACTGTGAAACAATCGGGAATGATCGGCTGGTAAATTGTTTGGACTGTCTCTGTGGGAAATTTCCAATTAAATATTCCGAGGGGAAGTTCAAGTCGTCTTTGTGTCAGATGAAAATTCTGTTCCGTATTGATAGATTTCCCTCGCTTCGCGAATAGCGATTCTTTGTCTTCCTGGGAGATTATCGCTTCGCCGAGTAAATACTATCTGAGTTTTATTGCTATTTTCTGGTTTTCCTTGAATCAACCGAGTGTACCCGTTGCCGGATACGTGAAAACAAAGACGACAGCTGCGTTATTAAACGATCTGAAGTATTTATATTAAATACCAATCGATAAAGGTCTGTAATTTTGGCCAGGAACATTTACTGAAACGATGTGTACGTCCGTGATGGAGGGATTTATGTGTCGAACAAGACAGTAAAAATCTAAATAGTAATGATCGATGACCTGCTGCAGAGTTTCAGGATGATCGGTGTCATCGTGAAGATCGCGCTCTTGGTGCATTTTCTTTTCTCGATCGCGGAGGTATCTGGCCAGTCGCCGTGTCCCAACTATTTCTGGTATGCTAGGGACGACGGGACAAACGAAATCGTCGGTTTCGTCGAGATACCATCACCGCCTAGAGGAGTCACGCTCGACCTCAGCGTCAGTTTGAGCATCGCTGTTGCACTGCCTTCGGTAAGAATCCAAACATTTTTCATTCACAAAACTCGTTCTATACACCATTGGCTCGACGTCTATTCTTTGAATTTAATTAACGTGATTGCGGTAACGAACAATGGGTAGATCTCAGCGTGATAAATTTTGCAGCAGTTCTTTCTCAGCGTGTCATTTTTCTGGTGAACACAAATCCGTTGTATCTTTCTTTGAAATCTGACTTCATTCGATTCTCCAACGCATCCGCAAAGATTCGATAGATCCGCGTTAACGTCATTACAGAATCGTTTCATTTTTTCTTAGATGATAAAACAAAAGGTGAGATACCTGCGGTCTGTTTTAGAAATACGTCGGTCGATTAGAATTGGCACAGTCGAAGGAGGACTCGGTCAGAGCGGTGAACGTGGGTCGGCCTCTCAGGTACAAGATTCATTTCCCACTTCCACAACCGATACCCATACTCACTGGCATAAGGTTCAATGGTCAATTCGTGTGTTCCGGTCCACGTGGTATGTACTGTATCTTCGAAATTCCGTAAAGTTAATTGTATATTAATCGACATTATTTAATTTCAGCTACCGGACAAATCGTCACTTCCATTGTTCTCAATCATACATTGTATCCACCGGGAGTGTTGCCCCTGTCTCAGGATCAGGGGAACATGATTATAATTTCTGACTATAATGTCCCGATAAGGAACGACGCACCGTTTTCAATAGGTCCGAAGCCAGAAAACAATTATTATCCTCGACCACCCGCGCCATCAGTGTTTGACAATTACCCTCGTCCACCCGCGTCACCGACGTTTGACGATTACCCTCGTCCACCCGCGTCACCAACGTTTGACAATTACCCTCGACCATCCGCGTCATCACCGTTTGATAATAATCCTCGTCCCCCCGCGTCATCATCGTTTGATATAAATCCTCAGCCCCCTGTGTCATCATCGTTTGATAATAATCCTCGTCCCCCCGTATCACCATCGTTTGATAATAATCCTCGTCCACCCGCATCACCATCGTTTAACAATTATCCTCCACCGAGTCCATCCCCGAAGCCGATGTACTATCCTAAGCCGCCTCGTCCGACGAGCGTCGCGACGACTACCACACCTGCACCGAAGCCGGAGGATAATAACTTAGATTGTGGCCGGAGCGACGTAAAGGGTATTAATCGTCTCGTGGCGAAAGGATCAAAAACGTCGCACGGTCAGTGGCCTTGGTTGGCTGCGATTTTCATCGTGAGACCCACGTACGAATTCCAGTGCGAGGGAACGTTGGTGACCAATAATCACGTCATTACAGGTACGAAGAGTCATTTTAGAAACTTTTAATAACACCATTGAATCGACGCGAATTATGATTCAATTTTCTTTTTACAGCTGCCCACTGTTTCCAATTAAACAACATGAATTTACCTATCGGGGTCCTAGCAGTATCATTGGGACGGCATCGCTTGCGGAATTTCTTAGAGGAAGGCTCCAGGAACATGGAAGTGGCGGAGTACAGGCTTCATCCCGATTACGACGCAAGCGGTAGCGCTGACGCAGACTTGGGTATTATATTTCTGCGGGAGAGGGTCGAGTACAGCCGTTGGATCAAACCGATTTGTCTTTGGTCGGGGTCCACGGAGCTTCAGCACGTCGTCGGGAAATCTGGATACGTGGTGGGCTGGGGACGTGACGAGAACGGGAATCAGTACATCGAGGAGCCGCGGATGAGCAAAGCTCCGATCGTCTCTCATGTAAATTTCATATTCTAATCTCAAACCCTTTCATAGTCTAATCTAGTCTTAAGCCCGTCTATTACGTCTCACCTATCATACAATTTTCAAAATTCATCTATTCGTTAGATATAATGTTGGAGAAAGACGTCTGATATTTGAACTTTCCTAGATTAATTATAAAAGTATTATTTTTCTGATAATGCAATACGTACCGAATGGAAATTGCAGGCGGTTTGTTTCTGGAGCAATCCGAACTTCGTCTCGTTCACTTCGAACCGGACGTTCTGCGCCGGATCGAGGGACGGAAGCGGACCCTGCAACGGTGATAGCGGAAGCGGTTTCGTGATGTACGACACCGACGCAGGTCGCTATTATCTACGAGGCATCGTCTCTGGCTCTTTACTGGACAGCAAAACTATGTCCTGTGACTTGTCGCAGTTCATCGTCTACGTGGACGTCGCGAAACACTTGGACTGGATACGGAAGCAAATATACACGTAGATACACAGTCTCGATTTAGTTACCTAGAAATTATCAGCAATACTCTTTTAGGAGATCGCACGAGCGTTAATTCGACGGGAGTCGTCGCTACGATTTTTTTCTTACATGCAATTTAATAAGAAAAAGACGTAGGCATATTTGAAAGTTCGCCAAATCGACACTCGTGCGACCGTAGTTTTACGCGTAATAAAGAAATTCATGAAATGGAGTAAATCAAAATAATTTCGTGGTCATGCCTGTAAATACGCTAGTCGATCATCGTCATTTCATTATGTAAATCACATCTGGATGACCGAGTACTTAGATAATTAGTGTTTCAACGCGTAGACACGGAATCAATGGCAGACCAATTGATTTTAATTTATTCCCGATTCCGTATCAATTCTCTAAGTATCATCTTCGTACAATACATCGAACGTTTCTCAATTAATAATGATCAAACAGCATTTCAATGATCGCGCGATGTATTCTTCGCGTCAGTGTTCACGATATCAACGATTTATAGTGTACATAAATCTGACATAGTTGTAAGTATAGCGCAACATTGACTATTTATATTTTACGCTAGTTAACTGTTCAATAATATTTATTATTAACTAATTTTTATATTCTATAAAATAAATTAGTCACTTTTGTATAAAATACATGTAATAATCATTCCCATACAATTTGACGTTTGTATATAATTTCTGATACTTGTTATGTATTTCTTTAACAGCAAATTTTTCTATGCCAATGTAGTAAAACGATTTTGTCAAGTATGAATAAACTATATACATTTATACGACTCTGTTTTATTTTCGGTAAGGGAACGGGTATACAGTGATACGTATCTCTATTTTATTATCAATTATACACTCTTACACATAAATCGTTTCTTATCCTATAAAGCGAGCTACAGAATGGAAGAAAGTAAGTTTTACAAAGTAGATTGATATGTGTAAATATTGCGATAAAAAAAGGGATAAAGAGAGGCCGGGGGCCTGAAAGAAAAATGTAATTCCTATAAAAAAAATTCTAGTTAAAACAACGGCTTAATATTGCATTCAGGGATCATATCGATGTT